ATATATATATATATATATATATATATATATATATATATATATATATATACATCCCATAGTACACATTTAAACCATAGTATATGGAATGTATGGGATATATATGTATATACATATATATATATACATATATATATATATATATATATATAGTCTCCCATCTTATGAAAGTATTCTTATATGCGTCATTTTGGTTATATTCATGTGAGAACCAACACAAATTATAACATGGAAAAAGAGAAAAACTCATTCATCAAAGACTTCATCCTTTCCTATATTAACGCGATTCTGTTGCACTGGGATCGCCAGCCTTAAAAAACTTAACAAAAACCATCCCTAAGGGAGTTTCCGAACTTCTCGTTCGATATGTGTTCAGTTTGGAGGTGGTATCTGTATCACTCCGATATTTTTTGCTAAGAATACATGAATAGCAGTGTTTTCTCGGAGACAATGTAGCTTATTCTTGGTCATATTTTTTCGAACATGACAGCCTACGTAGAAAACAACATTTCCAATAAGTACTAAACAAAAAATTGTTACATGTGTTAATAGAAAGTCTATTTCACAGATAGTATTTGAAACTGACTTGGAGAATCAGTAATACCCTCTCAAGTGCATCAAAAGGCATTCTTAGTAGCTATTGCTTAGATTAACAGATAGTTTTACCAGTAAGCATAAGAATTGCAAAGTCTTTTATGGAAACAGACCAGAACAATTCTGAAATTAACATTCGATAACAGAGATACTCCACGGAGGTTAAAATGAATGGAATTCTTATAGTGACGCTTGCAGTCGGAAAGCACACAACATCCAGTAGTCTAATGAACGGCTAGAACGGCTATTCTTCCCATTTATTCTTAATGTATGCTTGTTTTATGTCCATATATTTATTTATGTGACCTTATAAACTGATCTGCTTGAGCTGATGCGAGGTTGGTCTATGTTTACGTTGTCGTTGCTGTTGTTGTTGTTGCCGTTGTTGTTGGTGCTGTTTGTCGATAGCTGACGTTTCGGCGATTTCGACTTCCTCAAAGCCTGGACGTTTTTTATGTAACAGCAGCCTTATATTCGGTTAAATATCTTTAATATTAATAGAGATTAAACATATAAATAAACGCTATATTGATTTTAAAAAAACTACTCACTGTGCTGTTACGAGTGGGAATACACGCATGTTTCTCAGGTGAGTTGGAGTGCAACACCCATGTCAGTCCAGGTCAAAAAATCATTTTGAAATAAGGCGTCAGCTTACATGTGAAAGTGAAGCATTCGTCTTTCCGATTTTTCTTTGGATTTTCGAAACCTACCCAAAAGGCCTCAAGAGTCTTGCGCTTTGAAGCATTTGATTCCCGCACTAAGATCCATACATTCACTTCAAAATCATCATCAATGTGCTTTTCTGCTCTATATGTACTTAAAGGAGTGCTTTGACGAATTTCGACTTTCCTATTTAGGTGTTCTTCGGACATAAAGTGGTCTACCCGTTTCCCCAATCAACCTTACCGCATATATTACACGAGATCAAGTACACTGTACCTAAACTTATGAATTCCCCTTTCTCCCGTTAGGGCAGGTTATACAATTTTCTGAGTAACACAAACAATCACAGACGCAGTTCAAAACTAACGAAAGCCGCAGGATGTTGGGTGGGAGATCAATAACTGCCACATAAATTTCGAGGCCACTTTTTCATAGGCACCTCTTAGTGGCGCAACTTAATTCGTTTGATATGAAGGGTAGCTTAAAAAGGATCTTACCGAGACTGGAAACGTTATTCTGGAAAACAGTCTTCCTTCTTGTGTGACCCGAGTTGCTTTCGTTCGTAGCCATTTGAAATGGCTATTTTTCTTGCCAATTTTAGAGATTCCTTCCCTTCCTCTTCTCCTCTTCACACATTTTTAGCCGTTCAGTACATGTTTTTGATAACCGCTTTTTCCATATGTGAAGGATGGAAGAAGAGGTTGTGCACCATTATATTTTTACTATTCGGCTTTCGATACCATTTTATTATGTAGCCACTTTCTGGGCACGTGTGGCACAGTGGTTGGAGGCGCCGCTGCGGCACACACGGGGAGTCGATCTCCGCTCCCACGACCCACCAAGTCTTCGATCCCTCCGGGGTCGGCAAATTGGTACCAGGCTTGCCTGGAAGAATAGCAGCACTAGCTCGATACATCGGTAGGCCACCGCGAGTCACATTGAAGGCCAGATATGCATTCAATCACCTCCAACGATACTTAATGAAGTCGAATGCATGGCCCATCCCTCAGAGATTGATCAACGTCGAGAGCACTTTTTAGCGAAGACTTTATTTGAATTTTTAAGTATGGAAGTCAGTTCTCGGTTGGTTTTTTCTGCGTGGAATTTATAAACTCTGAATGTCTATTTAACAATGTATAACGTTTTGTTTTCTGCCTTCTATAATTTTCATGGCAGGTTACTAAGCGAAATACAACCACAACGTGGCTGAGATATTTGCGAAACTCTGGACCGCAGGTGTCTATGGTGGGGAATGAACGCGCTATTGTCCTTTCCGGGGAGTAACGCGTTCACCACCACACCATGCGGGTCCTTCGTTTCGCCTGTCTCTCAGCTATTTCTATCGATCTTTTTGCCACAGCAATCACCCTGAATGTCTATTTAACAATTCAAAGCACTCATTCATCTGTTCATGTGTTGAACAGACGAAAGTAATTGTCTATGTATGTTCTGTGTTCGTTATCCACATTTGTCCTGGCAACGATTTACCGCCTCATAAGGCTGGGGGTATTTCTGGGTTTCCGGCTACTATGTGCAGTGGGATTCACCCTAAGCAGGGCCTTCCAAGCTAAGGAGGAGTCCGAAGTTTCTGGCAAAAACCCAGCTAAGAGTAAAGTAGTACTAGGATCCACAACCGTCCTGGTATCAAACTAAGCGCATGGTTGTAAATCTTTCTCTGATCCACAATGGTGGCGAGTGCCTGGAATGGTGACGACCTGGAGAAGACTTTGGCTGGGCTGACCTTGGGACTCTAGGAAGCCACAATGGCTAAACCAGCAAAACTCCAAAAAATAGAAGATACCCTGGATCCGCACAACCAGTGAGGCTGGGCCATCTAAGTAACTAAGCTAACTAAGCTTCCACCTTTATATATATATATATATATATATATATATATCCTGTAAAAGTTACAGTGTTTTTCTTGTGGACTTATCTCGAAGGTTGTTCATATGAGCAAGAATTACGGATACTTTTTAATACTCTTCTACCCCGAATGTTTTGCTGTTACTGAAAGTGTTCATGCGAGTCAAAAAACACCATTTATAGTTGAGAAGCGCACCCACGCACAAGCCAGACTACTCAAATTAAATGATGTTTAGCTTACTGTTACAGAAATTCAGCTCGCAATAAACCACTGTCACTGTGTTAAAAGAAACCATATCACAAATGAGCACAATTTCTTCGAATTGAGCGCGGTACGCAGAAGCTCATGATGAATCTCTTGGTGTCGAAGAAAACGATGGCTACGAGCCTGAAAGTGTGATTAACTCTTTAATAAAAGAATAGCAGTTTTCGATTCCATGAAACTTTATAAACGTGTACGATATGAATTGCACTACTACTCTATGCGTATTAGGAAATTCCATAACATTTTCTTCCATTTTCAAATTTTTTGAAAAATTACGTTTTTTGCAAAAAATGGGAGCGAAATCTGATATTTCAAAATTTATGGCAGGATAAAGTACTTTTTCCAGTTTAAGAAGGTGGTAATTTCGTTTTGGTCGCACACAAAGCTTGCGGCAAGTTGGGAGTGACCTGCTTGATTGTAGAATGTCTGTTTAACGTTAAAATATGTAGTTTTGAAACTGTAGGTGTTATGTGTTCCCACTATTTCTTCGCGTGACATGGGTTTTTTATGGTACAGAATGCTCTAAGTTTTCTGATGAAGCATCTCATGATATTATGAAAAATATTGCAAAAATTACAGTATTGCTGCACATACAGTGGCACACCTTTAATTTCGAGGAATTTGATAAACTTTGTGAGAGATCATTCCAGAAATAGAGTGATCCATTCTTTGAAATTTACAATACTTATTTAAAGGAACAGTTAGAATTTTCGCAAAGTCTCCTCATTTCTCAAACATAGTTTCCAGCGACTTCGCGAAGCGGCTCTTCGGAGTCAGCGGCATCAGCAGCAGCAGGTTTTGTGTTGAATGAGGAACCAATCACTCTATTTCGTCTTGAACTCGAGCGGTTACAGTGTATTTTGCACTTCCCCGAGGAAGTCGCCTTCCAGGTAAATAAAATTGCTCGAAACTTTTTCTTGGCCTCTAGTTCGGCTTTTCTGCCATTATTTGAAAGTAACTTTTTGTAGGTGGCTTAGATAAACTGGAAGTGAAAAAAGAACAAAGTGAACTAGAAGCCTTTTTACCGCCGCTCGCTTGAGACCATACCGTTGTTCTAATGACACTGGTTGTTTATTTAAAGCTTGCAGTGAGCAGTATGATGTTCAAAAGAATATCAGAATCGAAGTTAATACGCTGAGAGGTGTAGACGAATTTGGGTTATCAGAACGCATTTTTTACGAAAAAAAAACTGAAACTGCATCTATAAAACTCACGAAACACTCATGTTGTACTTGAGTGAAAACACTAGGTTATTTTGAAAAAGAAACAAGCTAACGCATTCAATAAGACAATTTATTAAATGGCTTCGTTGGGACTGTGAAAAATATCTTGTTTTTCTTTAAATTCGGCTCAACCTATCTCTATCATAAGGATTAATTACGCGGACTAATGTAGGAGCTACTACGCGAACTAAGCGGTTTACCAACTTATTAGAAAGATGGTTTGACCCTGCTCTAGGTCAGCCAGAGCTGGTATCCCTTCGATGTTGGAGAGCTGCTCTCAAAGTGGTCTAGGACCAGGTAACTTCTAATCCACGTGGGATGCCCTAGCGCTGCCATTCCAGGATTTCAGCGAGTATGAAATAAACCAGCACTCGGCGACATTCGTGACGAAGGCGAGAAATCGTCAAAGAACAGCTGAAGCCACATACAAAAAAAGTTCAAAGCCTTCGTGGTTGGCGGTTGTAAGGATAAGAATCGAATTACAGAAAGGGTGGACTTTGCACAATATAATATCTGATGTCGAGTCATGCAATGAAAAATTAGGTTACACCTGTGACATCCTTTAATTGATTTATGGATGCCAACAGTTTTGAAGGACCCGTTTTCCAAAGAACTTCACTGCAGCGTTGTAATTAATGCGCTGGTATATTTAGAGGGATTGGTTAATTTATACTGAAGACTGCATGGTGTTACTTACACATCTAATCCGAAAAATGGAAATAGAATCTTAAGAGGATGCGGATTTCACTTGAACAGTGAGATATAAGTCCAACCGATAATAAAATTTCAATACATTATTGATAAGGGTTTATTGATAAGGGTTTTGGTTCAACGTAATACGTTCAAAACTGTAGCTTCTGCCCTGTTTCTTTCTAGATCCATATGTTTTGTAGCTCTCTGCCACAGAATATCAATTGTTCTATTCCAATCAACCTATGGATTACGTCCGCTACGTGAGTTGTGATCTTACCTCCGTTCCAATCTCAGAAAACCCCAGTCCCGTTCGAAATCTTGTTAGACGATTAAGCGAGGTTGGTGAGAACTGTAGGTCTAATTACCTTAGGTTGTTTTCCAACAATATTTCCCGTTCAGGTGTCGTCGTGGATAACACATGTAATCGTAAGCCAACCCACGCATGATGACCGTAAGGTGGCTCTCACCGCTATTCTTCGAATTATAGAGACATGCTGGAATATAGGTCCGAGATTTTGGTTTCGAACTATAATAACCTGCTAAAGCTTCCGAGTTTGTCGCACTATTCCAAAGCTTCAGCAAATTTCAACGCTGCTGTCGAAATTCTAATGGGTTTGAAAAGTGAGAAACTAAGGCCATTTTGGCTATCACTTCGTCAAGAAGAAAAGAAAAAATACGAAGAGGTGACGTGATTTTGAATTCTTAAATATTTCGAAAGCTATTTCATTCAGTTCGCTAGATTGACTTTCTATTAACCTCGGCATTGATTGATAATTCACCGTTTTTCTTCGATAAGCAAACGCAACGTTGACATTATGCAATTTATTGTCACACAATAGCCGTAATTTCGGCGGTTTCGTCTTCTTCAGAGTCTGGAAAGGTGAAATTGACATGCAATCTACTCAGCAAAATACTTTCATAACCCTAGCAGATACTTAGATATTTGAATGACCCGTCTTCACTGGCTGTAGGGGACCCACCATAATTTCCATTTCCCGGAAATTTTCTAGTTTAACTATTGCGGTTTCCTGGAGTCCCGAAGACACAGCGTGGCCAAAGTCTGCCCCAGGTCGTCACCACCATAGGCAGACGCCGCCCATGTCGATCAGAGTGGGATTTGCTACCATGCGACTAGCTTCATGCCATGACGATGGCGGATCCTGGCTTTGGTTTACTCCTAGCTGGGCTTCCGGATGAAAACGCCGGACTCTTTCTTAGCTTGAGAGACCTTGCCGAGGAATGATTCCCGCGCTGTGTACATCGCAGCCCGACAGTCAGGAACACCTTCCTGCCACGATGAGGCTGTAAATTGTTGGGAAGAAGCAGATAAGACTTGACACACAAATTTGCATTCACATAATAAAAACCTTTTTTAAACACCCACTGTTTTATTTTTTCAAGTAGTCCAATTAATTGTTGGAGAGCAGCCGCACAGAATAGTACATGGTCGAGGAATGTGCCTGGGTCAGGTCATAGAATCAGCCAGGTGCATGGTGCGAGATCACTCGTGGTAACAAGTCGCTCCTTCTTGCGGTTAATTTTTAGATTTTTGCAATTAATCCATAACGATTGAAGGCTTTTGCGCCCTTACGTCCTGGGTTCCTGTGCGACGATAGTAACTTCTACTTCAAAATATTCTCCGTCGTGTTTCTGTGTCCTATGCGCGCCTAGTGGAATGTTTGGTTTCAATTTAGATTTACCGACTAGGTGTTTTTTTAATGAAAGCAGAGCTTAAATTACACTTAGACATATTACTCGAATGCAAATTTATATGTTAAGTCTTATCTGCTATGACTATGAAAGTGTTTTGCTGAGTAGATTACATGCCAATTTAACCTTTCCGGACTCTGATGAAGACGAAACCGCCGAAAGCTCAACTATTGTACGCTAATAAATTCTATAATATCAGCTTCGTGTTTGCTTATCGAAGAATAGCACTGATTTCGTCAAATACCAGACGGATAAAGTGCACTAGTTCTCACTGAAGTTGAGAAATTTGCAATAGGAGATGCTTTTGTAACAAACTGAATTTTTCTAAAGATAGCAGTGATAACGCCAAGTTCTGAATTTTTAAAAAAGAAAAATATATGAATGCGCACTTTACAGTTATGTGAAGTCCTTCTTCCATCTAATCAAGCTCTACCATCTCAACCCTACATAGAAGCAATCCAAAGGGCTTTGCGAATGCCGCAATCACGTATTATTCCTTTTTTTGGAATATTCCTGCGGTATGTTACTTTTTGGCTTTTCTGGACGTTCTCAAGAGATCATATTCTTCAGGGATTTGTACGCTATTGTTAATGATCTTCCAAACATAGTCGTAATCGGTCACGAAGGCGATGAAGGGAAACCAGACGTTTGTCTCCTACTACTGCACATATTTTAGATATTTCACATATTTTATTTGTTGAACAATATTGCTATTGCCTTGTTTCTTAAAAAACTTCATTTCCAGTTTACGAACAACCCAAATCGTGAAGACAATTCGGAGTCTGGAGTTGGAAGCGGAGGTCTACTGAATGCTAATAAAATCAATTTGGTCGCCGTAGGTATATTTCTATTTAACTCAATTAAGTGAATATGGCTGTTCCGAGAACTGTCCTCGAAAATGCCACCATAAACCTTCTACTTCAGTGCTAGACAATTTGGAATTGTTTCATCGACACAGTCGTAACATGACGAAACTATTTGAACAGCGTTCTGACAAAAATAAGCAAAGTGTTGATGCCAAAGACGTGAAAGGTAATCGCATAATATTTAAAATGCACTCATTTCAAAAAACCTGTACTTACTGGAATAACCATTTGTGTCACTACTTACAAGTTTCTTAGTCTTTCCTACAATAAGGTCAGGATGGTCTCGGAGTACTGCCGCTGCATCGTCGTTTGTTTCATTCAAAACTTTTCTAGGAATTACGTGATAGTCTCCAACAAAACACGATTAGCCACCGATGCAACGGAAGTTCTATTTTGTGTGCTACAAGCATAAGAGTTATTTTCTATTGCTCTAGAAAATGAACAAGAGCTTCAAAACAAATGATAAAGATGCTTGAACAAAATATAGAGTTACGGAAATAATTTTGCATCTAGGTTACGAGCCGGTGCAAACTATCCACGGATCGTGTCATGGTGTCCATTTCGTTCCTCTCAACACGGCCAGCTTTGACTTGGATGTTATTCAGCGATTACAGCACGGAACTACAGTTAAACGATTCCTTAGGCTTTCATTTTTATTTCAACTTTTTTTCAGAAAGTTTTTGTTAGGTTGTCATCAGCTCTAATGTTCACTGTAACGTGCAGGCTTCTAGGTTATTCACTACGACCCTGAGTCTGGTCGCAGTGTACTGTGTTTGATACAATTGGACTATAGTTGTAGCACGATCTCCTGGCATAAAATAAGTTATTCTGGAGCTAAAGACCCTAGAGAAAAGGTTAGTACCTTTTGAAGTGGAGACTGGATCAGCTTCTTCCTATGAAAATATGTGCTGTTCAAGCCATGTTAAAAATTACGGTACACTATTAAATAGCGCTTCCCACTCCTAGTTTGTTCATGAAAGAACACGCACACTATCTAGCAATACTAAAACAGTAGAGTAAATACTCAATTTTCTTAATTTGAGGAAGTTGTTTCGTCGAAGACAGCGGTAGTTGCGTTACCCACGAACAATCCGGATTCTTCTAAAGGCAATAATCTTCCTTCTTCCAGTAAAGTTCAAGGTCTGCTAAATTGTCCGGTATAGTAACATAGACTGAAGCTATAAATATTTTAGGACCTTTTCCTTCCGGGTTTGAAGAGGGAGAATTGAGGCTGACATCAGTGAAGGAAGTAGAACCGGTGGACAGTTACGATCTCGATATAGAGGTACAAAATCTACCACTGTAGTCATGTCTTTTACCAAGTTGGTCACTAATACCAGTATTCTTTCTTGTATTATATTGTTAAAATAGTACCACTATTCTTACGAATGATCTCATACATTTGTGGCAGATGTAGCACACTGATTAGAGGGATTACATACACGGGTTCGATCCAGCGCACCAGACCACCAGGCATTTCATCGTCCCAGGATTGGTACATTGGTATCAGACCTATATGGGAGGATAGCAGCACTAACTCGGCACATCGGTAGTCCGCCGCGAGTCATCATTCAGGCCAGATACCCATTCAGTCTCCTCTAAAGGTGCTTAATAAAGTCGAATGTATGGCACGTCTCTCACGGGTTCATCAACGCCACGAGCCTTATCCTTTTTATCCTTTATTTTCATTCGTTTAATTTGCAGACAATTTATCGACGTCATTCTGTGGAAGAAATGTCAGTACCAGTCTCTTGCTGGAAAATCAACTTCGGTCAACTGCTGTCAGAAAATGAACTTCTTTACTTTCTTGCTCCTCAACAAATTGCACAGTTTTGGACTACGGGCTTGCAAGAGGTACGACTGTACATCTGAGTATAATTCATAACTTTTCTCTCGCTTTCATTCCTATTTTTCATATTTTTTATTCACCTTTTAGGGCTGCTGAATTAGTCATAGAAGTCAGCTCTTGTCGCATTTTAGCTGTCTGTGTCTTTAGCTTACTCATAATGAAACTAATATAGGTGGTGCGAAGCTTGAAAAAGGAACAAAAATATCCTGACAGAAGAATGATGTGGATTAAAAACCTCTACTTACAACTGTATAAAAAAAGCACAACCGAAGCAAGCGGTTGCGGCCATTTCGTCGGGCCAAGACCGTATGATGCTCTCCAAGCATTCGGTGGCCATGTTGAGCGATGGAAAGGTTTTGGTTAGTTTAAACATTAGTATTGATATTATATATTATTTGCTCACAATAGCTGACCTCCCCCCTCGGATTTTGCCTTCTTCAGATCCTGGTAAGGTCAAGCTGACAGTTAGTCATCCAATCACCTGCGTAGCTTCAACAGAAAAACGACGATACCCTATTTTCGGTCGCTTTAGATATAAAACAGCTAATTCACACATTCGTCACTCTCTATAATTTCTCCACTGGGTATTCCACCTAAAGACCAACAGTATAGAGCCGACGTGGATGAGTCATTAATGACTCTCACGTTAAAATATAAGTCTGAGGTATCGCGTGAGTTCTCGTGTGGCAATGATGCTTTCTCTGCGGTTCATTTTTGGATTGTTAGAATTTATCCGCTATGCTTCGGGAGCTTTGCGCTCTGAGCTTTTCGGTTCTTGTGATGGATGGTGGGAGGCTACCACTTCAAAACCTTCGCCATTGTATCTCTGTGCCCTATGCGCGCCTAGTGGAATGTTCTGCTTAGCTTTATCATGCCGTCTAGATATTGTTTTACATGAACGCAGAGTGTTGTTCACGTGTATTCATTTCAACACGCTTTGCGAGATGCGAGACGCCAGATAAACCACATCCGAACACTCACCGTCTCCACCGTTTGAGCAGATTACGCAATTTTGCGTTTTCCATAGACGATTGTAGAAACAATTACGAACTATTCCAAATTACATCTCAGAGTTATACCTTTTTTATTTTCTGCCTACTATAATTTCGCGGCAGGGTACTAAGCGAAATACAACCACAACGTTGCTGAGATATTTGCAAAACTCTGGACCGCAGGTGTCCATGGTGGGGAACGAACGCGCTATTGTCCTTTCCGGGGAGTAACGCGTTCACCACCACACCATGCGGGTCCTTTGTTTCGCCTGTCTCTCAGCTATTTCTATCGATCTTTGCCACAGCAATCACCCCGGAAAGGACAATAGCGCGTTTGTTCCCCTCCATAGACACCTGAGGTCCAGAGTTTTGCAAGTATCTCAGCAACGTTGACGTTCACACAAGCGGTTTCGAACTAAATGACCACGATGAGCGTTCGGTGGTAGCACACCTACTGCACCACCTTCTCTAGGGCGGCCTTTTCTAAGCATCACTTCGCAGCTGTGGTTGCTTTGCTAAAAATAAACTGTAATTTAAATGGTCCTTTCTTCTTTTTAGACTTGTCGTTTAAAAAAGTTGATTTTCCTCTAACCTTATCCCGAGGAGCTAGCGTTTTGTAGCCATTACAAATAGCTTCTTTGCCATCTCAAGTTGGCTCAGAGGAAAGGAATAGCAATGGAGCATCAGTTAGTATGGATTTGCGAAATATCCTAAGGCGAATGCGAAACGACAGCCCGTCCAAACATGTGTCACTTTTTAAAAAAAGCATTGAACAAAAGAAACAATCAAATCGAGCACAATGTCGCGCACTCCTCTTACATGGATGAAACAGTAACTTTTTCGGAAAAAAAGAAATGTTGACCTTATCAGAAGTTGAAAGAATGTATTATGTCGTTAGTAATAAAAAGGATGAAGCTCTCGACTTTGATCAATCCATGAGGGATGTCCGTGCATTCAACTTCACTACGCATCGTTTTGACGTGATTGAATCTGGCTTTTACAATGACGCGCGGTGGCCTACCGATGTATCGAACCAATGCTGCTATTCTGTCAGACAAGTCTGGTGCTAGTTTGCCCACCCCGGAAGGGAGAGAAGGCTTGGTGAACCATGGGCGGGAATCGATTCCAGGTGTGTGTTGCAGGGTGCTTCTGACTACTGCTCAACACGCGCCCTATTAAGTCATTATTATGATTTATTATGACGTTATTGATTACTATTCACAGATTGTTCGGAAATTAACTAGCAGTTTGTACGTTTACTTTTCTTGCATATGATGTGCTAACCATAATTTTTCGAATGCTTTGCCGTTGTGTATTAATCGAAAGCTTATTTCATACCTTGTTTCTACTTATTATTTCTTACGTACTTTCCTCTAACAATTTCTTAGTGGCAATGGAGATGCGATTTCATCTTCCTGCTCGAGTTACCGGGACGAATTTGGCGGAACTCTTGAGTCCTTCCCAATCAGCTCGTAGTCTTCGATGGAGTGTTCCTTAATATGCAACTTTCTATAGAGGATTTCGTTCACAATGTTGTTGTCATATAAAAGGTGACTCATTCTTTTTTTGAGAATGAAACAATTCCTTTTCCAGCTTACGGCTTAATCGAATCTTCGCCCGAAAAAGGCGGCCATCGCGACCAGTACAGAATGACAGGCCTACGGATGTGTCAACGAGGCACCATCATTTGTTTGTGAGAATGTGGTCGATCGATGCATTTGCCCTAGCGTTGCGTGACCACCCATTTCCAGCGACAACTTGCCTTCTTCTGGAAAAAAGATTTTCTGCGCAAGAGGCGTGCTGAGGACAGAAGTCTTCCAAAACGGTTTCTTCCCTCTTTTGTTTCTTCTAATCCAAGCTTTCCGATCTTGTATTTGCTTTTGTTAGCCTTTCCAATTCTAGCTTTGAGTCTCTGACAATAATTTGGAATCCGATATATCATTGCGGATGACTTCCTCCAATAGATAGTGGAAGGCATCCAACAATCCGTAGTCATCACTTGCATCGGTCGGTGAAAAATAATTGATGATAATGATCTGAAATGTTGGTTGAAGACGGAGGACAGCCATATTAAAGGAACGGATCTCTTACGAGTCGACAAGATGGACAGTGGACGAGTGGACGACGGAGCCTATGCCACCGACATTTCGTGCTAGGCGCTCCGCTAATGGCAAGCGTTCTGTTGTTTAGTTAGAGTATCTCGGTCTTCTTTCTATTTGATGCTTCTGCAGCGATCACATTGAATTAGACGTGATCTGCTCCTTTAAGAAGAGCGAGGCAATCGGGATCTTAAGGAAGTGTTCTGGTATTATACGAGCAAACTACAAAAGAGTCTCTATGGTGTGTAGCGTGTGTATTGCTCAGACCGAGTTGCAGTGACATCCTGCGTACCCCAAGATTTTGTGACCTCTCACCAATCGTCTCATCACCTAACCTCCCAGAGGCGAGTGTTTAGTCTGCGCGGTACTGAGGGTGGCCTATTGTTCGTTTGGCAAATTGACATTCTAACTCATCTTACGAAAACCCAGATGTTCTTGAATCGTCTATGTAACGCTTATACCAACAGCACGTTCGTGGTGGAGTCCTTCGACGTCGCAACTCATTTATTATACGAACGTATCGAATGACTCCGTTATGCACACCATTATCAAATTCTTATACAAAACGAAAAAGCAAAAAAAATGTTTTTTTCTCACTTTAGCAGCTCATGGTCTTTTTAAAGGAGTACCTAAACTGCTCAATCTTTAGGAAGTGTGGGGTGCCTCTCACACAAGTTAAATCGTTGACAATGGGACAGAGAATAGCATCAGGCATTGCCATTGCTTTTATTTCTAAAATTTAAGCTCTACTCATCTTCTTAGGGCTACTGATATGTTGTAGATATATAGATGGTTGCTTTTCTTGAGTTATTTAACGAGCAACCGGACATCAAATCTACCCGAGAGAAACCAAAAAAAAATCTTTACTAGTCCATTCTTGAACGCTTAAATTAACCCATCCGAAGGCGGGTATGTCACCAATTGGTACCGGAACCCAAGTAACAAAAACATACAAGTTCATAACCTTTCCTCTCATCACTCACACACGGAATGGACGCCTGTGAGAAACATGTTACACATATCCACCAGTGTATGCACGGGAAGAGAGCGGAAAGATAAATCCCTGAAATTGACGCGACAAATAGCCATTTTCAGTGGCTACTATCGGTAGGTCCTAGAGATGGTCTCAGAAAAAGAACCACACCGCAAACGATACGTCTATCGAGAATAAGGTCTCTTTCATCGTGCTCTTCATTTCCAACGAAATAAGCAGAGCTATAAAACGTTGCTCCATTAACGGTTTACCGCCTCTTCGTGGCTGGGAGGTGTTTCTGGGTGACGGGCTGCGATGTATAGCGGCGATAGACTAATACCAGGATCCACTACCGTCGTAGTATCAAACACCGCCCTGGTATTAAACTAGTCGCATGGTGGCTAATCTCCCTCACTGACTGTGTGGTAACGACTTGATGAAGACTTTGGCCAGGCCGACCTTGGGATTCCAAGGAAATACAATGGCTGCTAAACCAGCAAAACACCGGAAAATGCAGATAATGTTGGGGTCCGCACAACCAGTGAGGACGGGTCGTCCAAGTATGCAAGTATAAAACGTTGCTAAAGAAGCGGCGGTCTGGTGAATTCGATAACAGTGATTGAAATATCATCGAGCACTCTACAACGCTAGCTAGTTCGCAACAGCTTGTACGACTGTCTATGTATAACGGAAAATTCCATAATTTGCTCCAACGGTAGAGACAATGATTGGATAAGATCGGGAACGGTTTATCTAACGGCGCGTACACCGTACGGAGATGTATGGATTGAGGAATCGAGTAGGCACTCGGCATCCGTAGAAAGCTAGACGGTAAGTATGATAAGTATGAAGCTAAATAAAGTAGATCGCTAGGCGCGCATAGAACGCAAGCAATGGTGAAGATTTTGAAGTGGAAGTCACCATCATTGCACAGGAATCTAAAATCTCAGCGTACAAAGCCCTCGATGAATTGTGGATAATTTCTAAGAGTTTAAAAATGAACCGCTGAAAGAAATGCCTCTTTATCACAAGAGATCTCACACAATATTTGAGACTGATATTTTAATGTAAGAGTGACTAATGACCCACCCATGTCAGCACTGCACGGTTGGCCTTCAGGTGGAATACCCAGTGAAGGAATCAAAGAGCGCAGTGAGTGCGTAAAGAAGCTGTTTTATATCTAAAGCGACCGACAATAAGGTATTGTCGTTTTTCTGTTGAGGATATGCAGGTGTTTCGCTGACTAACTGCCTACTTGACCTTTCTAGGATCCGAAGACGGCGAAATCTGTCGAAAACGTAAGCTGTTGTAAATAAATGATACGTGATAACAATGTCTGTGCTATATAAGAAAGTATCGAGTTAGTCATCAATTCTGAGCTTAATAGAAAGTCAGCATTGGTAGTTAGTAGTGCTATCTCGGCCGGTTGTTTTTAAGTTCTCATGTAAGAATTGTGTGTTGACATTTCGCAATAAAATAAACAAGTACGGGATTTATATTAGGCACTGGTAAAACAAACTGCAGCAGAAGCACAAGTAAATATATGACATATAACCACAACGTTGCTGAGATACTTGCAAAACTCTAGACCGCAGGTGTCTATGGTGGGGAACGAACGCGTTATTGTCCTTTCCGGGGAGTAACGCGTTCACCACCACACCATGCGGGTCCTTGGTTTCGCCTGTCTCTCAGCTATTTCTATCGATCTTTGCCACAGCAATCACCCCGGAAAGGACAATAGCGCGTTCGTTCCCCACCATAGACACCTGCGGTCCAGAGTTTTGCAAATATCTCAGCAACCTCTCTCAGTTACCACCGGACATTGTCATTATATATCCACCATCAGCATCGTGTATAAAAGGGCATCACTGAGTGAGGATGCCTCATTCGAGAAGATGGCTCGCTGAGGAAGATCTGGCTCGACAGGAAGGCGAAGACGCAACGTCGAGGCGAACAACAAGCATGGACGATCGACTCGGATCACCGGCTCTGAGGAAGACGAAGACGTCGAAACGTTAGCCGAAAATAAATATATTTATCAACCTCGTGCAAGCTTATCAAGAAAGAATACATATCTCAGCAACGTTGTGGTTGTATTTCGCTCAGTACCCTGCCGCGAAATTATAGTAGGCAGAAAATAAAAAGGTATAACATGTATGACATATATTTTAAATTTTTCAAGATCTTGGAAAATCTAGCCGAAGCTTCTTCCTTTTTGCCCAATTTTTAGCATTCTTCAAAAAGTGGAGATTATTAAGACGACTGTGTAGTAATTTATGAAATATCATTACGTATTAGGAGATGAGGAATATTTCAGGGCTGAGTCAAGCAAGTGTTAGTACAATGCGTCAAAGCGACTCCTTAACGAACGAGCCAGGAGGTACTAAAAGCCGCCTAAAAAACTTTAAAAATGCTATGCAGAGGAAACTGCGAGGTGTATCGCGAGAACGTAGCCGTTCAAGGAGCCCAGAGCCGCATTCAGCAATGGTCAGTTTCTATAGCTTTAGAAAATAATTTATCAAAACAAGTCCAACAGGTTCGTTTGGCGGAAAACTAGTTGCTACTAAAAATGCAATAAACATAATTACTAGTCGTCGTAACCAGTACATTTGCAGTAGCTCAAAGGTTACGTTTGCTCTTCATAAAGCGTTTATAAGGAAGCGTGTAGCGCAATTTTTTGACGCGCTCTGCACTGAAGTATAATCGCTGTTTCGACCCCACGCCCTGGACAAAACGTGCTCCTTAGCTTGCCCAGTTATTAAGCTGGTTGGCTTGTCTGACAAAATCTACATCCAATCTGAAAAGATGGGTGATTGCACGTGGTGAAGTACTGATAGAGCTTCAAAAGGGCTGCCTCGATATTTCAGATGAAGTAAATTCGACCAACATTGAACGGCATTCCTGAAAAAGACGAAGCCTTCAAGTGATAGCCATGTTTTCATTGTAATTGTGAGAGCTTTGGAAGCACGATAACGGAGCGATTGTAGGAAATGTTGTTATTCGTGCAATGTTTAACACTTTTGCGACGTTGTCTAGTCTCGGGTTTGTTGAGGATTGGTCGACGCATAATTTCAGCCTTTATTGATTTGTTGCATACAAACATTACGATCATGATATGGCAGTGTTTCGCAACTCACCGAGTCCCTATCCCTAACGAGTTACTATTTTTTATACCCACACACTCTTTAAAACAGCTATCTTTTACTACAGCAACAAAAATTGAAATATTAGTCGATTAGCACCAAATTCCTGGTTAGTGATTGCGTTCGAGAAGCGGTTTTTCTATAATTTTAAATGAAGAGTAGTGCCTTTCCTAACTAACATCCGACACAACATCCGTGTTTTACGAGCTATCATTGATAAGAAGAAGTGCAGAAAAACAGTTTTATGTGTTAGAATAAACTATTGAAACAATTAAATCTTCGGACATCACATCGGTCCTTCTTGTTAAACCATTGTGACAATTACAGGTGTTGTTCGTCTCCAGAGTGTTAAAAACGGATCATATAAGCATATAAATAAAGGGTAGAACATATAGGACTACAGGTGATTCTTACGGAGACACAAACGTATTCTGATAGAGAAAATTCTATTGTTCAATCACTTCGCTGTTCGAAAGAAGTACGTCTCTCGATTGAAGAAGAAAAAAGAAAGAATTTACACGTTTCAAAAAATTTAAAACTTGACTTAATAGAGAAATATGTGGGTTGCTGGAAAACCTTTCAATGATTTCGTCGACTTTTACTTTAACTAACAAAACTGATTGTGAGGAAGAATACGTTTGTTAAGAATTGTAAAGCTAGATTATTTTCGGTTACCAAAGGGTTTCATGTGATTGGCACCGTGCGGGTGTGTTGAAGAAAAGTTCTTGGATTGTGAATGAAAAAATATCGGATAAATCAAAATATATTTAGCGCCACTTCTCATTGTTTTGTTTTGCTAGCCAACGTTTGAGCGGTAAATTTCCGGTGTTCAGAGCATGAAATGTCACATGGCCCTCAGCGTCTGGAAATCCATCTTCGCTGTTTAGTATCTTTTCATCCGCTTATTCACGTACATTTTTGCGGCAATTTTCGTTATAGATTCGACTATCATCAGTAAAATCGCAGTTATCACTTCATTCTGATCCTATTCGGCGGAAATCATCTGGGTGCCTTACGAAGTCGCTTGCTGGCATCGAGATCAGCGATTCTAGAGATATGGACGAAACACATAGCACACGTAGTACGTCTCCGACTCTCAGCTTATGTAGTGGTAAGCTACAGGGCTTCAAATACTGTTAAAAGAGCTGTTTGCCTAAGATTGTGACCCATATACGCGATTTTAGAAATGAGGCCCTACTTTCTTAACAGTGCTTTCTCTTCCTCCTTCCTCATGTTCATGGTCATACAATGACATGCCAAAATTTAATTTTTATTACGCTAAAACTTTTTCATATATTGAACAGATTACGATATTTTCTAAACATTTAACTAGTGACCCATACCAGCGAATTTCACTATCCTGCATATAAAATTTGTCATAGATTGTAAGCTTTTATGGTTGTCTAAAAAAAACGGCAAACACCGTTAGGTCGCGTTGTGGAAGATGGGCTGACAAAGCCGTGTCGCTGTCGTGGTAGTGGAACTCAGAATCGATCAATTGGTAGTAGCTCGCAGGTAACGCGTATTAATCTCTCCCTCGTGTAGTCAATACAGAAGAATAGATAATGTTCGTGTATTCCTTATAGATGTCAACACAAGCATCTGTCTTGAAAGAGTCATCCAGCAAGGAATTGCAAGAGAGACCGCTAACACTGGTTGATTTTGCCGAGCTTTTTCGCTTGTTCAACACATGCATGCGGAAAGAACTTAAGTTAGTTTTCAGAATTTCTGGCCAAACAGGGTAGGAGAAATTCTACATATGTGGAATGAGTACTATTTACAGAGACCTCTTCAATGACATCCTGTCGTCGACGTCGTTCTCCACACATTGCAAGAAGCGTGAGAAGGAACGAAGCAGCGGGCAAATTCACTGCCGCCCAACTGGCTCATCCAGTACCTGTGGTGCTGACTTTCTCTCAAATGGTTTGCCCTCCACTACACAGTTTTTTTCAACTACAACACTATTTATCGAAACCATTCTTCGATCAGCTGTATCCACACCGTGCTGAAATTTCACCAAGCTACTTCGGCATAGTTTTCTTTTAACCATTTCTCTTTCAAGATTTTCTCACCCGAAATTCGTCAATCACTTCGCATCGTATTAGCGAGAAACAGCTCAAGATTTACAATGCATTGGCAATCGCAAGTATAAACAAGTACGATTTAGCATGTTCTTATCGTCTGGCAAATTATGGAAGGCTTTTTATAATAATTTGACGCCTTCAGCATGGGGCGTCTAATGGACACGTCGAGGTCATCTATGCTTACACCAACCATGCTGGCCGCATTTGTGAATACCCATCAAATGGAAATGATCGATGAGCAATGCGCCAGTAAACTTATTCAGGTGATTAAATTTGTTCCAACACGTTTACGCTTGAAATATGTATGATGAGAGCTTTATTGCATTTTGTGATTTAAAAAAGTCCTCTATAATACAATTTGCCATTCCAATGAAATGATCCGTATTTTAGCTGCTCATTACATGGCGATAATTTGCAGTAATTTAGTTTATCTAGTTTAATTTGACAATTTGCGTTAACTTTCCTTTGTTATGGTTTTCTTCCGCTTAAATATAGTTTAGCATGACCTTTTGACTAGTTTTGCTAAGTTGCATTTTTTTAGCTGATGATGTTCTCTGACAGGTGAGTAGTCCACGTTATGAAAAATTCTGTTTAAGATTTCTTTGATGACGACAACATCATCCTTTCAACCTCTATTCCAAGTTAGCCCTTTTTTGGAAAGCTTTCAAATGAAATCCTGCTTCTTAACCTTGCTAAAAATCATTAGAAACAGTAACGGATGTCAGTGGTTCCAACAAATTCAGAGGTACTAAAGGTTTCGGCCGCAAATTTACTTTTACTCTTTACATTCAATGAATAATTTCTATCGCCACTAAAATTTGCTAATTTAGAAAGTCTGCGTGCAACGAATTTAATGACTATAATGATGTTGTATTGCCTATTCCACATGCTCATTCCATTTCAGGTACATGAACCAGATCCACTGTGTCGACAAAAGAACCAAATGTCGTTTGAGGGTTTTGTTCGGTTTCTCAACGATCCAGTAAATTTCGCATTTGTACCTGAAAAAATCGTACCAGAGGAGAGCGAACTGCAATTACCACTATCCTACTATTTTATCAATTCGAGTCACAACACCTATCTCACTGGTCATCAATTAAGAGGACCAAGCAGTTCCGAGATGTACAGGCAGGTGTGGATTATAGCTCACATTGGTAGTGTTCGCCCATTAAGCTCTTCGAGAATATTCTTACTCTTTTTCCACTAGACACACTTTTATTTGTCAACATTCGTATTTCAAAGCATAAGAGGATAAAGCTCTCCGCGTTGATTCTGAGGGATGCGCCATGCATTCGACTTCATTAAGTGTCGTTGGAAGTGATTGGATGCTTATCTGGCCTTTACAATGACTCGCGGTGGCCTACCGATGTATCGAGCCAGTGCTGTTATCCTCTCAGGCAACCCTGGTATCAGATTGCCGATCCCGGAGAGAAGGAGAGCTTGGTGGGCCATGGGCGCAGGAATCGACTCCACGTGCGCAGTGGCGCCCCCAACCACTGCGCCACATGCGCCCCTGCAAACAACAGACACCCCAAAACATATTAGAAACTCTTATTCACATAGGGCTTTAAGCTACTCTTCGTATTGCTCAACACTTTAGAGGTTCTGCAGTGTGTGGTTTTCGTTTACTCTTGTTTTACGTCAGTGTTCCCGTCATCGGCCTCACCAAAGTTTAAGGATCTTTTGTTTTTTGATAGAATCCTGTTTACTAGCGTTAATATGGCACACTCAGATTCATGGAGATCTGTTAAGCTTGAAACGACAAAATATTTAGCGAGTGGGAAGCAAATATATCGACTGTCTACAAGGAAAAATTCTCAAAATTCAATCTCGTTTACTCTTAAACGTCTATAAACTAATTGACTGCATGAAAATATTGCTACAAATGCACTGTTATTTCACAGGTTATAAAAATATATAGTGAGTGAACGACTGAAGGATGAGAATCTGTATCTGAATCAATAAACTCTACATTACTGAGCTAACGCTAGGTTGGTATAAATTTTTATTCGGCTGAAGCTTCCTCGCCTTCACCTTCTCTAAACTACACTGCTCTAACACGATGGTCCCGAGCTGTTCGTCGTCACAGTGTGGATGTTCGTTGTCTCATTGAATCGAATCCAGCGAAGGTAGCACCACTCCAATGAAGAGTCTCATTCGGCGGTGTCTTTTTTACAGGATGGATGTTGATCGATTCGATGTCCGTTTTTAAGATATTGTTTGCCATGCAATGTAACAGCAAATGAAGTACCGACCACTACAGGACGCAGCGCTGGTCCAAAACAGATCGTACTGAAGACCGAAATCGATCAAAGCTCGTCCTGTACAAAATGGCATCGCTGAGTAAAGTTCTCCAATCGGGTGGCGCTTGCTGCACTGCATTCGACTCTGAGGCTCTGAGGAAGGCGAAAACACCCAAACATTAGCAAAATAAAGGTTTGTACCAACCTCGTCTCAGTTCAGCTATGCAAAAATTTATTGATGTTACGGAGTCTTAAAGAAAGTCGGTTTTAAAGATGTTGTATCTTGGCCATTCACAGGTTTTGCGCTTCAAAATGTCAAAAAACTAAGCTTTTTGATTTATAGGTGCTTCTGAGCGGATGTAGATGTGTTGAATTGGATTGTTGGGACGGTGATGATGGGTATCCACTAATTTACCATGGGCACACTTTAGTTAGCAAAATTGGTTTCCGTCAGGTAACACACGTTTTGTTTTGTTTTTCTATTTTGTTTTCAAGGAAACAACACGTTTTGCTTTCTTTTTCTGTTTGTCTAGCTTTTTGACTAATGTAACACTTCAGGTTATTGAAATTATCAAAAAGTCTGCATTCACCACTTCTGATCTCCCAGTGATTCTATCCATCGAAAATCACTGTTCGCTGCAACAACAAGCGAAGATGGCTCAAATGTTTAAAGTTGGTTTTACATTAATTGAGAGATGTTCCGCGTCGGAGCAACCTTCTTCTCTCACTGAAACACTGCATAACTCCTAGAATATCGCAAGAAGTAACCTCTAAAACTCCTTCATGTCCTAGTATTTATTGGCAAATTCATATCTGTGTTCTTACGAACTGCCGTTCTTCAGCTGATACGAGGTTCTTGTAGGTGATTTTATTGTTATCGCTGCTGTTGTTCGATCGCCGATGCTTCAGCGACTTCGCCGTTCTCTGAACCCGGACGTACAATATGTAACAATAACCGCATAATTCGCTGAAATTTGTAGTATTAGAGGAGATCCAGCGTATAAATAAACGCCTTAGTGGCTAAAAAGCTACTCACCGTTTTGCTACGAGGGAGACTGCTCGCGTGTTGTTCACGTGGGATGACGAACGAGTCCCAACCACGTCAAAAAATCGCTTTGAAATAGGGCGTCAGATGACGTATGATAGTGAGAGGCATGCGTCTTTCCGGTTCATCTTTGGATTTTTGAAGTTTATCCAAAACGCCTCAAGGGTCCTGCGTGTTGATGTATTTGATTCCTGCGCTAGGACCCGTACTTTCACTTCAAAATCATCACCATTGTGATTTTGTGCCCTATGTGTATCTAGAGGGAGTCCTTTGACGAATTTTAGCTTTTCCATCTAGATGTTCTTCTATTTGGACACAAAGTGGTGTACTCGCTTCTCATTTATTCCTTACCGCATGCCTTACGTGAGACCAAGCACATTGCATGTGAACTCATGCAATTCTTCCCTCTCGCGTTAGAACAGTTTACACAATTTTCTGAGCTGCACAAACGATCGTAGAGGCGGTTGCGAACTAACTGACAGTGCAGGGTATTGGGAGGGAGGTTAATAACCGCCACCTAACTTTAAAGACCAATTTTTCATAGGCACCGCTTAATGGTGTAACTTATTTCTTTGATACTAAGGGATCCTATTTAGGTTTGAGATATTATTTTGGTCATATTTGATCATTGGGGTCTCTCCTTCGTAGCCATTTGAAATGGTTATTTTTCTTGCTAAGCTTAGAGATTTCTTCCTTACCTCTTTTCCTGTGCACATATTTGTAGCCGTTCGGCATATATTCTTGATGATTGTTTCCTTCATGTGTGAAGGATGAGAGGAAAGGCAGTGCACTAGCATATTTCCACCACTTGCTCTGTTCTTATGTCGAATAACGATGAAGCAATCGCCTATTCATCGGCGGTAGAGTAAGAGTATAAAGTGGGCGATCGACAACTGCAACGCCCACTTTATTCGTAAAAGCGATGGCAAAGCTTGTTGCTTATCGCTGGGCCGTGGCCAACCCTCTAATTTGTTCAAAATATCTTAACGAGCACCTATGATTGAACAACTAAGGCACTATTTTAAGTTGGGGGAAGGGGGTCATTATTTGTTGATTCGACAAATCACACATATTTACTTTCTTTCCATTTTCTACGAGTAACTCGAAAATGTCTTGCATTGCAGAATAATTTTATGCGTTAGTGTAAGGTGAACTAACTTCGAATAACTACATAACTTAGCACTAAAAATAGCCATTTCTAATGGCTACGAAGCGGAAGCCACTCGGGTCAGAAACAAGGCAGAGTTGTCCTCCAAAATAATGTTTCAAACTTAAATAAGATCCCTTTCCAACTGCCCTTTATATCGAACGAAATAAATCACGTAATTAAGAAGTGCCGTAGAAAAAGCGGTGTTTAAAATTAAGTGGCGGTTACCGAAATCCCACCCTATGCGCTGCACAGTTGTTAGTTCTCAACCGCCTCTGTGATCGTTTGTGCCACTCAGAAAATTGTATAATCTGCCCTAACGGGAAAGAGGAGATTCATAAACTCAGGTACAATATACCTGATCTCATGTAAGGCATGGGGTAAATAATTCATGGGAAAAACGAGCAGATCACTTTGTGCGCACATGAAAGATTATCTAGATGGGAAAGCTGAAATTTGTTGAAGTACTCCTGTAAGAACGCGCAATGGTGATAATCTTGAAGTGAATCTCCGGATCCTGGCGCAGAAATCAAATACATCAACGCGAAAGTTTCTTGAAGTGTTTTGGATAAATTTCAAAAGGCTAGGAAACCGGAAAGACGAATGCTTCACTATCATACGCTGTATGGCACCTTATGTCAGAATTATTTTTTAATATACATCCCCATGGATGGGTCTCAGTCATCCCACGTGAATAACACGCGGGGTGACACGGTGTCTGACAGCACGACGAGTAGTTTCTGGAAAATTGGCATTTATTTATGTTTTGGGTCCTCTTTAATACTACGGATTTATCCGAGTTGTAAGGCTATTGTTATACATTAGTACGACCAGGATTTGAAGAGCGCGAAGTCGCCGAAACGTCATCCATTGAACAACAACACCAATAACAGTAAGAAAATCTATACCAACCTCGTGTCAACTAAATAATGGCAGTTCGTAGGGATATATATATATATATATATATATATATATATATATATATACATAAGACTATTTACGCCGAGATTTATAGCAAGTCTTTCTTTTGAGTTAGTAGTAAATTGTTTTGTTAACATATTCATGTCGACGTGAATTCATGTAAAGCTTGTTCTATCGGGATGAGATCAGGGCTCTTTTCCGTCTTCATCACGAATATCGTTGAATGCTGGCCGAATCGACTGTTTTTGGAGCCTAGGGTAGCCGTGTTAGAGCTTACATGGATTGGAGAGAGTGAGCTTGTCTGAGGCAAGCTTGGTACCAATTTCCCAATAATGGAGTGATGTGTGGTTGGATGAGCTCTGTGTGGTCGCATGGTTGTCTGGGTAAGTTGGGCTAACAGCAAAATGAGCGGGATCACTACCACTGCTTCAACCGCTCCGTCAAGGGTCGTATTTCTGCCGCAAAAATATTTGAACAAGCAGGATTTCGTTCATCACTTGAATTTCTAGGTATTCAAAGTTCGTTTTAACATTCTTGAGATTTTCAATTACAAACTAACTTAAAATTGAAAAAATATCTTGTAGAATTTTGTATGCCATTAAGGCAGCAGAGCGAGGTCTGAACTTCACCATTGCTCCATAAATTTAGGAACTATTGCATGTGGTTAAAAAGTAGCTTCGTCATGGTTGTGTCTGCATTTATCTATGTTGTTTTGTTTTATAGTACAATCGTTATGTCGTTAACAGAATCGTCAATGATGCTACTGTTTAGAGTTGTCGTTTTTTTTTAGAGTTCACGAACATGCACTTTTACAGACTGTTCTTGGTGAAAAATTGGTGACGAGCTTCCTTTTTGAAGCTGATTTTTCGGATTTACCACGGCTTCCTTCACCTTGGCAATTGAGAAATAAAATTCTGATAAAGAATAAGAAGATGAATGGTAATGATTATTTATTTTATCTATTAGTACGCTTTTTATTTTGTTATTTTTTAGTTGACGTGCCGAAAACAATATCAATATCGGAGAAGGCCATGCAAAGAGGTGAACCTCAGTTGATCCTTCACCGAAAACCAAGCAAAAACAGCTATGAAAGCAGGTTTACGTCTTCCTTTCTTAACAACTTAGCCTTTCTTTTTAATGGCTCGTACATGAAAAAATGATTTAAAATTTTATATTTGCAAACTAGTTAACTCTTATTCTACTCTTAAACGAAATATTTATGGAACAAAAAGCCTGATGCCTTGTCATGGAGTGCTCAAATTCTTTAAACCCAACTGCATTCCTTCTGTTTCTTCAACTGTTGTCCTCGTAGGCCTGGTAATTTGTTACAAAATACTATTTCAGCACGGTAGAGGACGTAGACGATGACGACCTCGATGAATTTCTTGACGACGAAGAAAACGATGACGACGAGCCTGAAAGTGAGATTACCTTAATAATTGAAACAGTAGCTGTTTTCAGCGATATTAATTAGGGATCGTGCAGAGATCTTTGAATATGCGTATTCGCATAAATTAACAATTTGGCATGACTCTCTTTGTCAACCCGTAGAAGTATGCCTTTTGAGATCATTGAACGGATATTCAATTTTTTAAATCGAAAAAACTGAGACAAGGAATCCGTGTAATCCTTTCATGTTGCTTTAATGGTGTTGTTGCTCAAGCGAATTGAAATATTCTGGTGCTGACCTTTTTCAGTAATGACGATCCAGTCTGAACGTCAAGTGAATGAAAGTCCCAAAAGTAGTAAGTGCTCTATGAAATCTACAAGCGCCTTCAGAAAGGACTCACTCAATAGCGATCACAGTAGTCCCGTCATTAGACCACCATTTGGACATTTTAAAGTGGTAAGATTGTTATGAAATATTAGAGACACCAGCCTAGTTATACATTTATTCTGATGTTTTTATCAATTTCCGATTGCAGCCTTCCGATTCGAAATTATGTGAGGAAGACGTCCTTTATTCATCATCTACGACCAATTCTAAATCCAGGACAACAGCAAGGAAGGCAGACACTGGACTGCAAATCGCCCGGGAACTTTCCGATATCGTTATATACATGCAGGCCGTAAAGTTTAAAGTGTGGCAGGTTTTTTGGTCGCACTCAAAGTTGTTATCGTTCTTTGAAAAAATGAAAATTTAGGGATTTCCAGCTTCGGATGTATTTACGTCTCCGCGATCAACGGAAGACCCCGTATTGAACGTAAATCCGTCAATGTTTCCCCGTGCGCGAACTCCTTCCAGTCTTGTAAGCAGTCCAACGCCTCCAAGACGACAACGCAGTTCACCGCAGATCAGTCATGTGGGTCCGTCCTTGTACTGAGAACTAAACATAGCTGCCGGTATTTTTGGAATTCAGTTGTTCCACACTCGTTTTTTCAGGTTTCGCCTACTTGCCGTAGCTAACTTTTCTAAATTTTATGAAAAGTGGTCCAAATACAGATACCTTTTAGGAATTAAAATTCAGTAATAGTTAAAAGGTGGCCAAATTAGTAAATTTTTAGTGCAAAGTCGATGTGAATAAGTATGAATATCATGATGCGAAATATTTCGTAGATTAGGTCATTCGGAGGCATTATAATCTCAATTTTGAGTCCAAAGTTAACTTCAATTTCGAGATTGCCACTTGGAAAGCATGGTTTTACGTTTTCAGGATAGCCAGCTCTCAGATTCGAGTCAGTACACAGCTGTTCGGCCCCAGGCGTCAGCAACCTGCTACCAGGTCACCTCATTGAATGAAAACGCAGTAAAGAAGCTCATTAAACAGCATCCTTTCAAATGCATAGCTTATACACGAGATCATGTTAGGTTTTCTTAAGGTTAGGTTAGTGGGTATGGAAATTCGGAACATGGTGGGAAATAGTAGGATCTTCGGGTATTCATACCAGACTTGTAATTTCATACTTTTGGTACATGTTTTAACATCAGTTATTTTCCTCAAATATTCTATTGTTATGCATTTTTGAGAAGGTTATTTTGTGCACCTTCGGCGACCTACTAAATTTGCGAACTATCCATTAATTTTTGCCTTAAAAAGTGCTCTTACTCTTCATAGCAACGGAGAAATTAGAGCAATATGGCTTCGCTAAGAAAAAGCAAGCAAACAAACAGCTTTCAGGCGATTCATATGCGTTAGACAAAAGCGTTGACAAAAAACATTTGCCCCTAGCAATTCACAGAAACATATCCTTATAGAATCCGAATTTCCATCTCTACTAGCATAATATTTTATCACTGTAGAGTCGTCATTAATCTTCTTCCAGATGATTCGTGCGTATCCATCGGCAAAACACTACGATTCATCCAATTTTAATCCCATAAATTGTTGGGCTCACGGATTACAAGTAGAGCATTCGTTGACTATGGTTTCACTACTTGCGTCTCTATAAAAACTTAGTATGACGAGAATAAATTGCTGCAAATGATCGTTGTAGATGGTGGCATTGAATTTTCAAACACCCGATGTGATTATGGCAGTTAATCAGGCTATGTTTGAGCAAAGTGGAAACGGCGGGTAAGTAATAAATGCGAGTTTCTTTTACCGTTGAACAAATCGACCTTGCAAAGTTTCATCCTTGATTTTTTACTTCAGTTTCCAGCGAAAACCACGGGTTTTGTGGGACAGTACACACCCCCAACATGGAAAGTTCAACCCATTATCTAAAGATGTGGTCAACAGCTCCGCGCTTATCCTGAACCTCACGGTTGGACTGATTTCCCTATTTCCTACATAAACAACAGCTCACTTTTTACGTAAAGAGCTCAGTTTCGCCTAAGTTTCTCATAACTCTAATAATTTCGTTATATCTGAGGTAATTTCTGGTCAACATGTTTATCCTGGCTGTCACTATGCCAGTCTATATGTGGAGATTGAAGTCATTGGTATACCATGCGATTGCTTTAAAGTAAGTAACACTGTTTTTAAAAACAAAAATGATCAACAAACTAGCTATATTTTAGGAGAAGACCAAGATTGTACATAGAAATTCCGTGAATCCCGTTTGGAATCACTCCACTCAGCTACGGATAGTTTTCGTTGATCTCGCTTTCCTCCGGCTAGCAGTTTGTGACAGGTCGTCTTCATTGTTCGTACAACACTTACTATAGGTTCCTATAGGCCCAAATTTTTAACCACATTTTGTTCGATTTCAGTAAAATACAGGAGTGCGTTAGTATGAATGCAAAAGGCAAACTTGAGTAAGTGAAAAGAAAGCAAGGAAGAGATCCACATCGATAAAAATGGACAATGTAATTGTATATCTTGCCTAAATCTTTTCGTGATTTCTGTTTAGTATGGGTTTCTCGTTAAATTTGGACACGGAATTCTCCAAAGGTCCAAATGGATAGTAGGACTCAGTTGGAGAATGACTTATGTGGGGGAAACGTTTATCTTTTTATGCTGGATCTAACTCTTCCTCAATCTCTCCTTCTACTTTTATATTTGTTTATACATGTTTGTTTTTTCCAAGAGATCAATTCTAGCAGCCAGAATGGACGGGTGATCGCACATCGTGTCGTGCCGACTCGTTGCATTAGGCCTGGATTCCGCCATCTGCCACTGCGGACTGCAACGAATCAACCAATTGAAAGCGCAACGCTTTTCTTATGGTCTGCTTTTCCGTACATTGGAAGATATAGTTCGTATATGTAAAGTGAATAAGTGTGTTGTGTTGAGAGATTCCTCTAATTCTTTGGAATTGATAGGCAGAATCGTTTGCATAAATTCGGGAATTCGTACGTTTTTGATCATATGGAGAAGTAGTGTGGCGCGTGCGGCGCAGCGGTCGAAGGTGCCCTGCAACACACGCGTGGAATCGATCTCTGCGCCCATGGTCCACCAAGCCTTCCATCCCTCCAGGCCGGTAAATTGGTACCAGACTTGTCTGGGAGGATTGCAGCACTGACTCGATACATCGGTAGGCCACCACGAGTCTAAGGACCAGTGCATTCAGTCACCTCTAAACGATGCTTAATGAAGTCGAATGCATGGCGCATCCCTCACGGATTGATCAACGCCGAGAGCGTTATCCTTCTATCCTTATGGAGAGGGAAATATGTTAGCGGTTTTGTAATGTCGACTTCTATAGAACCAATGGTTATGTAGGAAACGAATATGTGCAACAAACAAACATTCGCTTTCGTTATATTAACACACATGATGTCAAACAGCCAATAACTTAAAATGCAAGTCCTTAGATATGTGAACTTTATCGTGTGAAACATAGTATATCTTAATTATTAGAAGGAATAACCTTGTGATGTAATTATAACACCACAAACATCCATGCTTCAAGGCATTGAGACGAGACACGCGTCTTTCAATAAAGTCACTGTATTGAACTTGTATCTTCTATGCCTTTTGCTTTTGTATTTGGAACAACCATTTTTAAAGGACTCGTTTCGAACAAGAAGAGCACATTTACCTATATGATGACGAGAAGCCCTCCTATAACTTCGAACACTCGCTTGCTTACAAAACAGACCTCGTGAGTATCAGATTCATGCTGACGTCTCTACAGATTATTCGAGAGCAAATAGTTTTTCAGGCTCCGCAAACACCACCTGCTCCAATTTTCAAAAGACAAATTTTTGTGTTGAAAGTGACTGGCGCTTTTGTTGACGAAACACCAATCACCGTATATGGTAGAAGCGATAGCACTGTGAAGGCTATAATGCAGCAGGTGTTTGCTATCATAGTTTTTCTAATCGCTTACTATCTCTCTTAATAATTCCAACTTACTAGCGCTTATACAATTTTCGTGCTTCAATTTGTTAAAGAACTGAAGTTTACAAGCACTCACCTTGGAGCGTGATCTTGTTCAAAGATGATTGTATGTAAAATTAACCTCTTTGAGGCGCTCATGAATGCCGGAAAAAACGTCGACCAAGTAGACGAGTACGTTCTCATCGAGGAGTCTATGCCTTCAGTTGCTGGAGGAGAGGATCCAATTGAACAGAAGGTGATAACTTGTAAAATCCCATTATTTATGTTCATGTTTCACCAAAACAAAGTATGTCTTGAAGGAAAACATATCTACGCTGGTTGATTATTGCTACCATACAACATTACTTGTACCACTTACAATCCCGTTAATCATCGCGCAACTCTTCTATCCGGCACTAATAATTTCTCCATTCGTCACTAGAGCGTTCCAGAGCTGCTCACTGTGCTCCTGTCGCACGAACGCAACGAGAATCATATTTTTTGTATGATGCCGTTTAGTTCTACTGTTTTGAAGACAAAATAACACGTAAAACTGAATACACACATGGTCAGCTTGCCAAGCTTTCCTGGTCATTTTCTCAATGTCACTTGATAGCAAGCTTTTAACCTAATTTTCATGCAAGATACGATACATGTTTCCGCATACACAACAGCACGTCTTTACGTATATAAATATATATGCATATGTATAAAATATACTGGTCTTCTTTATGAAAGTCTTTGAATACCACATGAATTAATCCCTCTTCTAGTTCTGAAATGGGCGCGCTAGGGCGATTCGATTTTTCGCAGTTGTTTCTTGCGGATTTGAATGAACTAGCTGGTCTCTGGAGAATTCTCGTTCCACTTCCCCGAGAAAAGCAAGGAGGATATGATAGGCTTGAGACGGGATCAAACCAAGACCTTGCTCGTAGTGATCGACAGAACTGCCACTGTGCTTCTGTCTTTGTAGAAATTGTTATATTTGTGAACCTTAATTTCTAACGTTTTACATGCACAATAATCTACTTAGCAGAAGCAGTAATTCCTACTCTCGAATTTAGTTTGCGCATGACGACATGCAGATGACCACTTCTGGTTTATGTGTAATCCATAATCACTACCTGAACACGTAATTTCTTTTAAGTAGCCTTGTAAAAACGGGCCCCAGATAGTTCCAGTGGCGCACACGACGTAATCAACGAAAAGTTCTTGCGTATGGTTGCTAATCGTTATGCGTGACAATATAGGTTAAGAACCGCCTTATATGGTGACGTTAGTTTGCGACATAGGCTTAGGAAATTGCTAGATTTCAGGTGCTGCCTTTGAACGAACCTATAATGAATGCGGTTGCCCGTTGGAATGGATCGATTCGTCGCTTTGTGTTGCGTAAGAAGGGCAGCGTGAGTGATGAACAAGTCATGAAAAGACGAAAAACTCCAACACAAGTCCCAGCTCTTAACAAACTCACCAAGTGTTTGTCAGACAGCGCTAAACTTGTTCGCTAAAATCTGACGTGTTCCCATTTAAGATAGCGTTGATTGCTGTTCAAATGAACATATTGTTTCATTGGTACTTTATTTCTTTACGCAAACTATTAGAACTAGTACTAAATAGTCTTTGTTTTTAAAAAGCGCATGTCGCCAAGCTTTCTGAGGCGATGATCCTGCATTGCATAACACTACTTTGCTTATTTTACACCTTTCTATCGTGTTTCATTTTCTTGTGGTTTACGTTTTCGTTTACATCTTCGGTTAAATCCCATAACTCTTTTTGTCTTTCCGTATCTAATAAGTTGAGTATACGTAAGTAACCCCTATCCCTATGCCAACGGTAGTATTCTATTTTGCCATAATTGAAATATCCAAAATTTGATACAAGATTGTTTCGTGTTGTTACACACCTTACCATTTCTTTCCACATATTGTTATGGGGCGGGAGAAATGCGTTTGTGTAGATGAACATTATATTACGGATTGTGTTTACCACCTTTGTTTCACGACTTTTGAGTAACGTCGGTGTCTTCCTTCTTGCCAATGTGTGTGTGTGTGTGCGTGTAGAAGTATCTTCCTCACGCAAACTTTTGTCATAGAAATTTGACAAACTTGCAGGAATAAATGTCAATGGTTGGAAAGTTGTAAATAAGAAAGCCATCCGAAAAAAAATCTTCCATTCCCTAACGATCTCCAACAGGTGCGTGTAACGTGTGTCGAAGCCAAGTTTGCTAGAGAAGTCATGACTTGAAAAGCTTTCCATAAAGTTTCGGAGTGTGCTGTGGTGAAGGAAGGCTTTTCCCCGTCCTTGTTCGTTTTGATTTCCTATGTCATACCTTTAGATTGCTTTACCAGGTGCACGACAAGTGAATTCAAGAGCAGTAGTGCTAGATTCGTCAAAGCTTTTTTATGTATACCTATTTTTACATATTGTTAAGTTCAAAGAAAAATTGCTTTTTATGTGTATTCAATTTCACTTTGAGTTTATTAAGGATCCGTCATCAAGAACGTGGATTACATCGATCATTAAAAGCGGAGTCTCCGGTTCAAGCAGCACTGCTCCGTCGCCTTCCACTATCACCAGGCAAGAGCATTTGAAAAGCTCCTCCAGTATCTCACTACAGAGCAGATCACTCGACATCGTTAGACCGAGAGATCATTCCGAAGGTGCGGAGAAAACACGTTCGTGCCTTGGATTATCTTTATTTCTTTGTTAGAAAGAAGGAACATGAAATCAACTGTGAAATCTATGTTGGTCTTGAGATTTTCTATTACAGTGAGGGCCACATAGAACGACTGCGTTGTTGCTAGTACTAACGAATAATGGTGTGAACGCCTCACCAGACTGGAATTGTACACCTCTTTATTCTTTCGAACTCTTTCAACTTGAAATTTTGATTTGTGGCTTTTAAGAGTTCTGTTATAACGTAGATTAAACCTTCCTCTATTGAATCTCTCGGTGGCTACGAAATATTTTTAGTGTCCGACTCTGATGTACAAAAGAAGGCTTTTCCCCAGTGGAGCCATTCAAGCTGTGAAGAAGTTCGACAATTTACTCCCAAATCTTAGCAATAAGTGAACCTATGCGATTACATCAGAGATCACTTTGAAAGCAAGATGGGCGCAAGGTGGCCTACACTGATAACCTGAGGATAACTCTTGGCGAGCAAATCTCTTGAATTCGAAGAGAAATTAACCGTCGTCGCAGCAATAAACAAGCATTCTGAGCACATTCATCTATAGTGCTAAGTGGTGCAAAAACCTAGGGGGGGGGGGGCAATCACGTTTCGTGTTGCATAAGACCGTTGCAGGAATCTAACTAAAACAATACTTTTAATATATTCTGAAGGAAATGTTTCTTACTTTGCATCCATAACACAAGAACAGTCTCCTTAAACGTCAGTCTGTTCACTCTTTATTAGACCATCGTCCTCATCGAATTCCATCTGACTATCCTAGAGGAAATCAAAAACAGGAATTTCATCGCCAGTTATATGACAAGGTCCTTGTCACTCGATTGTGACGATTGTCTCACGAAACTTCAGTAATGTGAGCACTATTGTACATCGTTCCTCTGCTCGTGTTGCTGACTTACATTCACTTCTTTAGGCCATCCGAAGTCTAATACACGTTAAAAGCAGATGAGCATCATCTATTGGTGCTCAGTAATTTTTCATAGATGATAAGAGCGAATGAGATGTGCACCGCGATCGATTAATATGCAACGGGAAACCGAAATGGACGTGGATAGTGTTGCAGTGGACTTCTCTACTCAACACTTCGCTACCATAGAAAAATCATTTTACACGAAGGGAAACCGCTGCTAGACTTAAGAAGCGCCTAGTGGCATAATTCAAGTGAAGTTCACACGTACTCATGAACAGAAGATATAGCCTCTTCGAGACTTCCATATTGTTCTCCTCATTGATCCTACCACCGATTTCTCATCACGAAGTTTCGAATGTGATGCACGAGAAGAAGAAGAAGAAGCTGAGGACAAATCCGATTACAACACAACTAATGCGGTTGGTAGTAGATACTAACTGTAAGAGATCACTGTATGTGAATTTTAAACTATGGAGATAAGAAAAAATAAAAAGAATACGCCAAGGGCTAAACACAGTGAAATAAGTCGGCCTCATTACCCTGACTCGGAAACAGCACTGATACTGCAACGTTGCATAGGGTGAGTATGGAGACGCTGCCAAAATCTCAGGGCCGTTCTCGGCTAAGTTGCAAATGACTAAAGTGAAGATTTGTACCCACAATGCACGCTCACTTGCATCTGAGTCATTGATAGAGGGGTTGATCATGCAATGGTAGGATGTCATCGGGCCTGCTGAGACGAGAAGACGCCATGCATTCAACGCTGTTTACGACACAAAAAAGAACGGCAATACGCTGAACACGCGACAGTAGAGGAGTCGGCAGTGTGAGCGTTCTCGTCTACACGGCTTTGGCCGTTAGCATCGATTTATTTGAACATCTAACAACCAGAATGGGATTTTTACGGCTGAAGAGATGTGGATCAATGCCTCCTTCGACAATATTCGCCCTCTGCGCGCCGACATTAGCCTGTGGTGAAGACGAAGTCGGAGCGTTCTATATGGGCTTGTAGAAGTTCTACAGAGAAGAACGTACATTCTTCAAGTTTACCACTGGAAATTTTTGCTCTAAGAATGGAGCCAGAAGAAACTCTGAAGAACGTCACATTGGGAGCCACGGATTAGAATGAAGTGAGCAGGTGAGCCGCTGTCTGAGTTTATCCATGACGACCAAGACATGGTAATTCGCAATTCCAGAAGCCTCATTCTTAAAGCTGGATGTGTGAATCTACCATTAGAGAACCCTGTAACGGAATGGATCAAATCGCAGTAAATTAAAGGTTTTACCTAACCAATGTTGTTGTGGTCCGAAAATTCTATGCTGGATCAAACCATCGCCGCCTTCGCGCAAGATGCTGTTTCTCGCAGAAAGGAGAAAAAGGCTCTAAATTCAAAACACGAAGTCTCAAAACGGCCATAAACTGGGACTTATTCTGTTCATTAGTCGCTTCGTTGGAAGATATCGTTCTTAATAACACTGGCGAAGAATACGACTGGCTCACACATCATGCTCAGGTGAGCGCTAGGAAAGCTGGGAGTTGGAAAATAACCAATAGACGCCTGTCTCCAGAAATACTCGAGTGAATAGGTCACCGGAATCGCACGAACTGCAGGCAGCAGTCAAGTCACGTCTGAACTTGCAAAACAATGCAGGCAGGCGATAAAAGAAGATCTTAAAGAGAGAAGAGCAGCAGTTGTGGTTGAAGCTGCAGGGGCTGAGATAACCATTCGCAAAACAACACTGCGAATTCGACCACCAGGTGGTGCATCTGCAGTTTTCAAAAAGTCAGTGGAAAAAAATCAGTCACGATTACTACTTGGACTCGACCCTCTTCAATAGCTACACGTCCTCCTGCTCGCATATGGATGGATATGCCGTCTCATCGGTTCTTCCATTCGAAGTCCGCCATATGAACACTCTTTACGCGCTACCTGTCGGAATATATGGGTTCTATTCAGCGGAATACCAGCAAAACCGTGTTATTGTTCAAGAAGCGTGACCTTCACAATATCGGTAAGTGCTGCACAATGTGCTTACTGTCAGTCGTCTATAAGCTCCTCGCTTAAGTCATAGTAAACACGAGTGACAGAAAGCCATGCGAAGGGCTACCATGTGAGCTAGTAATGTTTCGACAAAGACTCAGTACGGTAGGCCATATCCTCACAATCGCGAAACTTAACGAAGTATCGCGAGAGTACTAGAAACCGTTCTGTCTCACTTTCATCGATCTGAAGAATGTCTTGGACTCAGTCGAGGTAGAAGCGGTCATAGAATCACTGAGTAGCCAGGGCGTCGCCAATCAATAATGTATGTGGCTACTTTTCGAGCTATGTACGAATTTAAAACAGGAATATCACCACGTTACAGCGACGTTAGCATCGATATCTCGCCGAATAATTTACAGCTGCGCTCGACAGCATCATGCTACAACTAGAAAGGGGAAAAAAGCAGTCGAAATTCAGTGGTCGACAATAAATCATCATTTTCACCTTGCTGATAATATCGTTCTTACAACACCAGGCATTGACCTTGTTGAGGCAGTGTTCGCCAACCCCAACGGAAGGGTAGGTCTTCGACTAAATCTCAAGAAACGGTGTTTATGAGGAATTCATACGTTTCTGTTGCCTCAAAATAAATTTCTCTGAATACTTTAGCGGTTTGCGCCAAGACTCCATTCCAGAATTGGACAGGAGGAAGGGCTCCGCTTGGGAAGCTTTCAGGAGTATAGAGGATGTAGTGAGGAGAAGAGAGAACATGCGACTCCTTGCCCACCTTTTCGACTCAATGATTCCTCTTGTCTCAACGTATGCATCAGAAACCTGCTGCCACATCAACAGAATGAAAGATCACCCAGCGTTATTGAACGGGCAGTCGAAACGACGATGCTAAGAGTATCCTGGGTCTAATAA